ACCAGGTTCGGCAATCCGTGATCTGAACCGAAGACCTTGCCATACGTGAAGGCATTGACCCATACCATTGTGGGCCGTATGGCATCTTTTTGCCACATTCATCCACGGTGCCGCTGATCCCAAGCATCTTTGGGATTCGAGCCTTGGGAGTTCACTCTTGGCCTTCCCTCATTTTCACACTCGTGTCTTCCAAGATCTGTCTCCGCGACCCAGATCACATAATCAGTGTTCCAACAGGGGAACCACGCATCTCGAAGATGGGCACGGGACTGACGCTCTACGGCCACGTGCACTCGCCGTTCGTGCGTCGCGTGCTGCTGACGCTCTATGAGATGGGCGTCGAGGTGAGCGCCATGGCCACATGCGCGATGGGAATTCCTGATCGTGGTATCTGTCCAGGCATGTCGATTTGTCGACTTCGTTGCTCCGCTACGGACTGTCGTCATGCTGGTTTCTGTATTCGTGAGTGCGCGGCGGCATTCATCGCTTGCCATGCCTCGCCAGCAGTCCGAGTCACGCAACCGTGTCTCCCCCCCTTCCCCCCGGCAGGATTTCGAGATGAAGGTGGTGAACACGAGCAAGGGCGACAACAAGACGCCCGAGTTCCTCGCCATGAACGTGCGTGAGTGGAGCACATGGAAGCATCTCGTAGCGGGGATAGGGGATGGGTGTGATGCGTCGCGGCGGATACGGACACTCTATGTCTGCAGTAACGGCTGTCAATGATGCATTACGGATGGAGAGGATTGTTATTGAGAGTCGAAGGCGCGTAAGCAGCATTCGGAGTGGTGTCCCATTCGGTGCGAAGGTGTAGTGTAGTGCTGTGTCATGGCATGGCGTTAGTTGCGAATGTTAATTGGTGCAGTCGTGTTCGTGCACACCCTCTCATCCGTCTCACTCTCGCTCTCCGCATCTCCCCCTGCTCCTCCCCTTGGCTCGTGCTGCCAGCCGTTCGGCAAGATGCCAGTGCTGGACGACAACGGCCGCTACCTCAATGGTCAGTGCAAGGGCTGCCCGCCTCTTCTTACCGCTCTGCTCTCAAACGTCTGCCAACTGTGTCAATGTTTCATATTTTATCGCCTCTGTTTTCACATGTGCCAGCATCTGAGCGGTTTGCTATGCAAGGTCAGTCATTCTCTACGGTCGCTAACCAACCTTCGCACCACCCCTCGTTTGCACCCCCCTTACAATCGCGCTGTTACTCGAATGCTTGATCAAGATGCTGTGAATGGGTGTGCTGTTGTTCGGCGAAGGGCAGACGTGAAAGTTGGAAGGAAGTAGAGCGCAGAGCCGTCACATAAATGCATGGCATGCTGTCTCCACTCACACACGCATCTGCGCCTTCTCTCCCCATCACTGCGTGCTGTGCGTGCTGTGCGTGCTGTGTGTGCTGTGCGTGCTGTGCGTGCTGTGCGTGCTGTGCGTGCTGTGTTTGCTGTGCGTGCTGTGCGTGCTGTGTGTGCTGTGTGTGCTGTGCGTGCTGTGCGTGCTGTGCGTGCTGTGCGTGCTGTGTGTGCTGTGTGTGCTGTGCGTGCTGTGCGTGCTGTGCGTGCTGTGCGTGCTGTGCGTGCTGTGCGTGCTGTGCGTGCTGTGCGTGCTGTGGGTGCTGTGCGTGCTGTGTGTGCTGTGCGTGCTGTGTGTGCTGTGTGTGCTGTGCGTGCTGTGCGTGCTGTGCGTGCTGTGCGTGCTGTGCGTGCTGTGCGTGCTGTGTGTGCTGTGCGTGCTGTGTGTGTTGTGTGTGCTGTGTGTGCTGTGTGTGCTGTGCGTGCTGTGCGTGCTGTGTGTGCTGTGTGTGCTGTGCGTGCTGTGTGTGCTGTGTGTGCTGTGCGTGCTGTGCGTGCTGTGCGTGCTGTGTGTGCTGTGTGTGCTGTGCGTGCTGTGTGTGCTGTGCGTGCTGTGCGTGCTGTGCGTGCTGTGCGTGCTGTGTGTGCTGTGCGTGCTGTGCGTGCTGTGTGTGCTGTGCGTGCTGTGCGTGCTGTGCGTGCTGTGTGTGCTGTGTGTGCTGTGTGTGCTGTGCGTGCTGTGCGTGCTGTGGGTGCTGTGCGTGCTGTGCGTGCTGTGTGTGCTGTGCGTGCTGTGCGTGCTGTGCGTGCTGTGTGTGCTATGCGTGCTGTGCGTGCTGTGTGTGCTGTGTGTGCTGTGTGTGCTGTGGGTGCTGTGGGTGCTGTGCGTGCTGTGCGTGCTGTGTGTGCTGTGCGTGCTGTGCGTGCTGTGCGTGCTGTGGGTGCTGTGCGTGCTGTGTGTGCTGTGCGTGCTGTGCGTGCTGTGTGTGCTGTGCGTGCTGTGCGTGCTGTGCGTGCTGTGCGTGCTGTGCGTGCTGTGTGTGCTGTGTGTGCTGTGTGTGCTGTGTGTGCTGTGTGTGCTGTGCGTGCTGTGCGTGCTGTGCGTGCTGTGTTTGCTGTGCGTGCTGTGCGTGCTGTGTGTGCTGTGCGTGCTGTGCGTGCTGTGTGTGCTGTGTGTGCTGTGCGTGCTGTGCGTGCTGTGCGTGCTGTGTGTGCTGTGCGTGCTGTGTGTGCTGTGTGTGCTGTGTGTGCTGTGTGTGCTGTGCGTGATGTTTGTGCTGTGTGTGCTGTGTGTGCTGTGTGTGCTGTGTGTGCTGTGTGTGCTGTGTGTGCTGTGCGTGCTGTGCGTGCTGTGAGTGCTGTGTGTGCTGTGCGTGCTGTGTGTGCTGTGTGTGCTGTGTGTGCTGTGTGTGCTGTGCGTGCTGTGTGTGCTGTGCGTGCTGTGTGTGCTGTGTGTGCTGTGTGTGCTGTGCGTGCTGTGCGTGCTGTGTGTGCTGTGTGTGCTGTGCGTGCTGTGCGTGCTGTGTGTGCTGTGTGTGCTGTGCGTGCTGTGTGTGCTGTGTGTGCTGTGCGTGCTGTGCGTGCTGTGCGTGCTGTGCGTGCTGTGTGTGCTGTGTGTGCTGTGCGTGCTGTGCGTGCAGTGCGTGCAGTGTGTGCTGTGCGTGCTGTGCGTGCTGTGCGTGCTGTGCGTGCTGTGTGTGCTGTGTGTGCTGTGCGTGCTGTGTGTGCTGTGCGTGCTGTGCATGCTGTGCGTGCTGTGCGTGCTGTGTGTGCTGTGTGTGCTGTGTGTGCTGTGTGTGCTGTGCGTGCTGTGTGTGCTGTGTGTGCTGTGCGTGCTGTGCGTGCTGTGCGTGCTGTGCGTGCTGTGCGTGCTGTGTGTGCTGTGCGTGCTGTGTGTGTTGTGTGTGCTGTGTGTGCTGTGCGTGCTGTGCGTGCTGTGTGTGCTGTGTGTGCTGTGCGTGCTGTGTGTGCTGTGTGTGCTGTGCGTGCTGTGCGTGCTGTGCGTGCTGTGTGTGCTGTGTGTGCTGTGCGTGCTGTGTGTGCTGTGCGTGCTGTGCGTGCTGGGCGTGCTGTGCGTGCTGTGTGTGCTGTGCGTGCTGTGCGTGCTGTGTGTGCTGTGCGTGCTGTGCGTGCTGTGTGTGCTGTGTGTGCTGTGTGTGCTGTGCGTGCTGTGTGTGCTGTGTGTGCTGTGCGTGCTGTGCGTGCTGTGCGTGCTGTGCGTGCTGTGTGTGCTGTGCGTGCTGTGCGTGCTGTGTGTGCTGTGCGTGCTGTGCGTGCTGTGCGTGCTGTGTGTGCTGTGCGTGCTGTGTGTGCTGTGCGTGCTGTGCGTGCTGTGTGTGCTGTACGTGCTGTGCGTGCTGTGTGTGCTATGCGTGCTGTGTGTGCTGTGCGTGCTGTGTGTGCTGTGCGTGCTGTGTGTGCTGTGCGTGCTGTGTGTGCTGTGCTTGCTGTGCGTGCTGTGTGTGCTGTGTGTGCTGTGTGTGCTGTGTGTGCTGTGTGTGCTGTGTGTGCTGTGCGTGCTGTGTGTGCTGTGTGTGCTGTGCGTGCTGTGTGTGCTGTGTGTGCTGTGTGTGCTGTGCGTGCTGTGTGTGCTGTGTGTGCTGTGCGTGCTGTGCGTGCTGTGCGTGCTATGCGTGCTGTGTGTGCTGTGTGTGCTGTGTGTGCTGTGTGTGCCGTGTGTGCTGTGCGTGCTGTGCGTGCTGTGTGTGCTGTGCGTGCTGTGCGTGCTGTGCGTGCTGTGTGTGCTGTGCGTGCTGTGTGTGCTGTGTGTGATGTGCGTGCTGTGCGTGCTGTGTGTGCTGTGTGTGCTGTGCGTGCTGTGCGTGCTGTGCGTGCTGTGTGTGCTGTGCGTGCTGTGCGTGCTGTGCGTGCTATGCGTGCTGTGGGTGGTGTCCGTGCTGTGTGTGCTGTGCGTGCTGTGTGTGCTGTGCGTGCTGTGTGTGCTGTGCGTGCTGTGCGTGCTGTGTGTGCTGTGCGTGCTGTGTGTGCTGTGCGTGCTGTGTGTGCTGTTCGTGCTGTGTGTGCTGTGCGTGCTGTGTGTGCTGTGCGTGCTGTGTGTGCTGTGCGTGCTGTGCGTGCTGTGTGTGCTGTGCGTGCTGTGCGTGCTGTGTGTGCTGTGCGTGCTGTGTGTGCTGTGCGTGCTGTGCGTGCTGTGTGTGCTGTGTGTGCTGTGTGTGCTGTGTGTGCTGTGCGTGCTGTGCGTGCTGTGTGTGCTGTGTGTGCTGTGTGTGCTGTGCGTGCTGTGTGTGCTGTGTGTGCTGTGTGTGCTGTGTGTGCTGTGTGTGCTGTGCGTGCTGTGTGTGCTGTGCGTGCTGTGCGTGCTGTGCGTGCTGTGTGTGCTGTGTGTGCTGTGTGTGCTGTGCGTGCTGTGCGTGCTGTGCGTGCTGTGCGTGCTGTGCGTGCTGTGTGTGCTGTGTGTGCTGTGCGTGCTGTGCGTGCTGTGCGTGCTGAAGAAAGTGGATCGGTGAACTTAGGGCACGATAGGAAGAAGAAATCTCCTTAGCAAGAAAATGGTACAAGTCTTAAAGACTAGAGCAAGGTCCTTGTCAAGGATAATCCCTAGTGAAGTGGGAAGCCACATATATGTGGCTGAACTCTTGAGGCTAGCTGCAGCACCTCAATACTGAGGGCTAGGCTAGCCAACCTTGCCAAGCTAGCAAGTGAGGCCACATGTTGCACATGTGGGCCAGGCTGGAACAACAACCCACATGACAGCATATGGCACACCATAGAGGCCAGCAAGGTGAGTGTGGGATGAGTGGACAGGTGGCAATGCCAGCTGTGACCACACTTCACTGTGGTGGAGTGTGGTAGAGTGTGGACATGTAATGTGGAGCATAATGAGAAGGGAACCTGCAGCTACTGAGAATTGAACCCACAACCTCTAAGACCACAGGTGAGAATCTACCCTCCGGGACATATTTGCTGCACAACACTCCCCCTCAAGGATGTCCCCGGGGTAGGGTTCTTCAAGCGGAGACATGGGTGAGACCGAGAAGACCACGGATGCGTAGAAAAGGGTCACGGGGCAAAGGTTTGGTGCCAATGTCAGCGAGGTTGTCTTGAGTAGGAACATAGTGAAGGGTGACGGAGTGGTCGGCGACATGATCACGAATGAAATGGTGCTTGATGTCGATGTGTTTGGCCTTGGGATGAAAGACGCCGTCGTCCTTGGGCAGAATGATGGCGGCGCTGTTGTCACACGAGATGCGGGTGGGGCCGGGTGGGGGAAGTCCAAGTGCAGTAAGGAGGGATCGAAGCCATAAGGCGTCATGCACCGCGGCGCCCAGAGAATAGTATTCAGCTTCACATGAGGAGGTAGCGACGACAGCTTGACGTTTGGACTGCCAAGAGATGAGTGACGGACCGAGGAAGAACAAGTAGCACGTAACGGAGCGTCGGAGCTCGCCCTCCGGTCCCCAAGAGGCGTCACACCAGCTCTGTGCGTGCTGTGTGTGCTGTGCGTGCTGTGCGTGCTGTGCGTGCTGTGCGTGCTGTGCGTGCTGTGTGTGCTGTGTGTGCTGTGTGTGCTGTGTGTGCTGTGTGTGCTGTGTGTGCTGTGTGTGCTGTGTGTGCTGTGTGTGCTGTGTGTGCTGTGTGTTCCTCCATCTCCCCCCAGAGTCGCGCGCCATCATGCGGTACATAGCGGAGAAGTACGCGGAGGGGCGCCCGAACCTGGTGGGGGCGGACGTGTGGGAGCGCGCGGAGGTGAGCCAGTGGACGGACGTGGAGGCGCACAGCGTGACGGAGCAGGTGGCCGTGGTGGTGGAGGAGAACTTCCTCAAACGGCTCATGGGCAAGGGCGAGCCCGACAAGGCGCGCGCTGATGCAGCCATTGAGAAGGTGAGAGATGGGATGGCGGTGGGAGCATGGCTCAGATGGGGAGAGGATGGGGTATGAGTTGGGGCGATGGGGAGGATTAGAGGCTTGGGAGGAGAGCTGGGGCTGGGGCTGGGGCTGGGGCTGGGGCTGGGGCTGGTGAGGCCTGGGTGTTGGTGCTGTGCGAGCTGCCCTCCCCCTCACACACCTCATAACCACTCTAATGCCCTCTCAACCCCCTCGCCTGCCCGTGCTCGCCCTGGCAGCTGGGGCGGCTGTTTGACATCTACGAGAAGCACCTGGAGGGGCGCCAGTACCTGGTGGGTGGGCGCTGCACGCTAGCGGACCTCACGCACCTGCCGTACACCGAGATCCTCTTCCATGCCGGCGCCGGTGATCTCATCACGTCGCGCCCCAACGTGGCGCAGTGGTGGGAGCGCATCTCGTCCCGCCCCGCGTGGAAGAAGGTGCAGCAGCTCGAGCCCATCCCCGCCTGATGCTGTGCGCTGTTCATTCTCCTCGTCCACACTCTGGGCTGCACACATGTCCTCGTCCTCTCATCCCTCCCTCGTGCTCCCCATACACGGCATAGGCTGCGCAGTATTCACAGTGGATGTCCATACTGCTGACAGGCATACTTATGGGACAAAGTGATGGTTCGATTGGATACTAAAAGCTTCATCTGAGGGTCCAAGTTTCTCATCGGAGGGTCAGAAAATTCTAGAATTTGACAGCAGAGCAGATGCAGTCACCACACCTGCTGGACTATTAGCAATTTCCAAGAAGCTACCTAGTGACGTCCAGTGCTTAGGGCGGGTCCAACTTTGCACACTCCCGTTTTTTTCGTTATTTTTACGTCAATGCACTAGTCATACTTGACTGTACCCCAGTGCGAACTCCAAACATTTCCTGTCCAGTTCCGAGTGCACAATTTGGACTTTTGACAAGGTACAGTAACGCTGCGGGGTACAGTACCTGGAATGAGGGGTTACCCAATAAAGCGAGGTTTTTTGCACCTGTGACAGAGGGGGGATTTATTGGCGAAAACAAATTAGCGAAACAAGGTGTTACCTTCTGGGGTGTTTGATGCGAAACGAGTTTGACGTTAACCTTCGGATGTGTTCTGCACGTCCCCGGGCACGTTTTCGAAATGTCATCATATACCGTATGTACTGTCTCGCGTCAAATGGATTCTGGTACATTTGTAGTTCTGTTACGGTACATGCCGAAATGTGGTAACTGAGCTAAAAATTTTTTGTACATGTGCAAAGTTGGACCCGCCCTTATGTTCCGTTTCTTGTTCGTTTTGTTGTTGCATCCTGACGCAAAACAGTGAATCTCAGTAACTGCTTTCCACCGCGGGGAACCATCATGAGCCATGAAGCCTGAATGGTAAACGCATTCACTGGACACCCCCCTGGACTTGTCTTACGTACACTTAGTAGATTTCACTCTGTGGAAACAAGGCTTGATGCCAAAAAGGAAGGGGAGGCAAGGGGAGCCTGGGTACGAAGACCTTCCAGAGCTTTCCCCAACCGTGATTCGTCGCCGCACGCAGGAAGGTACCGCATGCATGGTGGTGCACGCAGGTGCGTGTGGCATGTGCGGCCTGTGGAGCAGGGCACCTTCACAGGGGAGAGCACAGCAGGCGGGGAAAAGGCTGTTAGACGACCAATCCACCACGGCCGTGGCTGGCAGTGCTGCACGCCTACAGCAGCAGGCGCCTGTTTGGGCGGTGCCTTGCCACCACCCCCTCTTGGCTTGGCCTGCCCTTCCCACTCTCCATCTCCTCCTGCCCACCTGCCACGCCCCCCTCATTGCTCGTCTGCACATCATCCATCACCCACGCAGCTGCCACTCCCACCTCGCCTCCTGTGTGGAAGCTTCCTGCTTGCAGCTCCCCTTGCACCCATACCTGCCTGCCCCCCTGCTCCTCGCCCTCCTGCTGCCCACCCCCTTGCTGCCCTGGGCCAATCTTTCTCGGCTGCTGATCCGCCTGCACTGCCTCTGCACACACACACTCACGCCCTTCCTCTTCACCACTCCGCACCACCATCTCCATCCCCGCCTCGCCTCCGCTCTCCTCGCCCCCTTCACTCCCTCCCACCTCATCCCTCTCTAACTCACTCCTCCCCCTTCTTCGCCCCCTCCCCACTGCAGCACTGCCTCTCCTCCCCCCGCCAACCGGCCCTTGAATTCGACCCACACCCGTGTCCCCACCCCTCTCACCCCCACCGCTGTGCCCTCGCCTCCTCCCCTTGCCACTGCCACGCTCCCGGCTCTTCCGCTCCGCCCCTTGCTGCTCCACACCACGGCTCCGCGCTGAGCAGGCACTACAGGCGGCCGTGCCACTCGCACTGCCGCGCTGACTGCGTTGTGCCATGACCCGCCTGCTGCGCCGCACGGCCATGCCTGCTGCACTGCACTGCACACACACCCTGCCATCAGCAGTGTCTTCCACAGCAGCAGCAGCCGCATCCACGACTGCTGCTACCTCTCCCGCAGCACTCACCACTCCAGCTGATGCCGTATCTCCACATGACTCACCACCTCTTCGGCCTCTCCCTGCACCCCCCTCATCTACCCCGCCACCCCCCTCTGCATCAGCAGGGGAGCGTGTGGGCGGGCTGCTAGACTCACCCTGTGAGCGGCGCCTGCCAGTGCGGCGGCGCTGAGCGCTCACCATCACACCACCACCGCCGCCACCACCACCCGCCTTGCCCTCCACCGCATCACTGCCCCCACCATCACTCACCTTACCCCCAGCTCCCCTGCCCACCCCCCCAGCGCCCCCAGCCGCGCGCATGCTGTGGCCCGTGATGGCAGGGTAGCGCGATGAGGGCAGGTGCGCCATGGGGCCAAACACCCGCTCGTACTCGCCCCATATGTCCCACCTGCCATGCCACCCCCCCACCGCGACAGCAGCGGAGCAGCGCACAGCAGAGCGAGTGGAGCACGGCGACATGAGCAGAGCACGGCAGGGACATGCAGGGAGTGGTGTGAGCAGGGGCAAGTGAAAGTGAGGGAGTGTGAGGCGCTTGAGAGTAAGCAGTGGGTTCGCACCCGGCAGGGTGGAGCCACGTGTCACACATGCGCTCTGCCTGCCATGGACTTTCAAACAAGCGATATGCACAACACACGTGTGAGGCATGGTGTGAGGCATGGTGTGAGCCTGAGGCATGGTCTAAAGAATCAAGGAGAGGCATGAGGGCACATCATGTGGGCATGGCACAGGGCACATCATGTGGGCATGGCACAGGGCACATCATGTGGGCATGGCACAGGGCAGCTTACCAGTAGGCGAGGAACTGGAAGGGCGCGTGGGCGGCGTACGCTCGTGCTGCCAGTGCATCCACCGTGCCAGCCGTGCACCCCGCATGCCCCCTCGCCTGCACCAGGGGGACAGGCAGCATGCCACACGTGCTGTGGTGTCATGCGCTGTGATGTAGCGTTTATAAAGAATGGACTTTCTGAGGATCGTTTATTGCTCTGCGCCTTGCGGCTTGATTGCAGACTGCAGTGTTGGAGTGCACAGCATTCTCTAAGTCATGAGTCACACTGCACCACCCTGGCTTCAAGAGTGCTTGCCTTGCCACAATGCAGGGCGGCACAGACCTTGGCAGGCGGCACGCACCTTGAGGTGGCGGATGGTTTCGGAGTCAGCGGGCACGAAGCAGAAGACGCCCATGCACTGCAGCGCGTTGGCCGATGAGAATGGCCCAAACCCCGGCAAGCGCTGCACCCTCTGCCTCACCGCCTCCTCCCACCCCACCTCCTCTTCCTTGTCCGTCGCACTCCCCGCCCTCCCCCGCCTGTCTGCTTGCCTCCTGCCCTTGATGGCGGTGTGAGTCAATGGCGCAGTGCCATGGCAGCCCCCCCCCTTGCGAGCTGCAGCGCTGCTGCCCTCACGTGCCACAAGCGTCTGCGCCTCCTCTGCTGCCTCCACTCTGTTCAACTCACGCCCATCGTCCTCCAATTTCCTCCTCCTCTTCCTCCTGCCAGCCCTTCTCCTCGCATCCACTCCCACATCGTCTGCCCCTCTCATCTCCACTCCTTTGTCTGCCTGCTCGCCGCCCTCCCCGCCTCCCACACCCGCCTGCCCTGCCATCTCCCTCTCCGCACCTACTGCTGCCATGTCACAGCCGCTTGGCGGATTCTCCAGCAGGCAGTCCCTCTGGAGTGCTTCCAGGTCAATGGTACCAGATGCCACGTCAGCTGCCAGCTTGGCAATCCGTGGGCCTCGGTACCCCAGCCCGCACCTGCTGGTTAGGTATGGTATCTCCAAGCCCGCGAGCTCGTGAGGCTCGGGAAAAGCGCCAACACAGTCAGGCGAATCTGCAAATGGGAGGAGGAAAAACAGCGGTTATGGCAGGAGACAGAGAGAGAGCAGGTAGGGGTGAGGCAGCAGCGAGGCAATGCGTGTGGTTGGTAGCAAGTGAGCAGTGAAGTGTGGTTGGTAGCAAGTGAGCAGTGAAGTGTGGTTGGTAGCAAGTGAGCAGTGAAGTGTGGTTGGTAGCAAGTGAGCAGTGAAGTGTGGTTGGTAGCAAGTGAGCAGTGAAGTGTGGTTGGTAGCAAGTGAGCAGTGAAGTGTGGTTGGTAGCAAGTGAGCAGTGAAGTGTGGTTGGTAGCAAGTGAGCAGTGAAGTGTGGTTGGTAGCAAGTGAGCAGTGAAGTGTGGTTGGTAGCAAGTGAGCAGTGAAGTGTGCTTGGTAGCAAGTGAGCAGTGAAGTGTGGTTGGCGTGACGGCACCCCACTGGGTCGCTCCTCAGAGGAGGTCGCTCATCGCCTCGTCTCCCCCCACCTCCACCGCACCTCTCCGGCACCGCATGCTCCGTGCCGTGTCACATCTTGCCCCCACCTTAACGTTTCAGGTGGAGTGGAGCCGTGTCGTGCCACCACACACGCCTGGCCCGCCTGCACTGGGACAGAGGCCAGCGGTGCAGACAGGAGGACATGGAGGGCTCACCGCGGGCACCGATGGGAGGGCCGAAGTGGTGGCGGTGCAAGAGGCAGAGCGCACGTGCCATGGCCAGACTCCTGCCCCACCCACCTGCACACCACACTCAGCACCGCACAGCACAGCACAGCACAGCACAGCACAGCACAGCACAGCACAGCACAGCACGGCACAGCACAGCACAGCACAGCAAGGCACAGCACAGCACAGTGCAGCACGACACGGCACGGCACGGGACGGCACGGCATGGCACCGCACAGCACAGCACAGCACAGCACAGCACAGCACATGTCGGAGAAACAGCTTTGCCTGCCACCTGCTTTCGTTCTTACTCCCTTCCTCCCTGAAGCTTCTTGCGTTGCCTCAGCCACTCCCTAATGAAAGAGACAAAGCTCCCCCCCCTCAAGGGTCCTCCCTGAGTGGTGTGTCACCTAGCCGTAGGATGAAGGTAACAACGATCCACTATGTGAAAGGATAACAAGAGGAAAGCAACGAGTGAGTGTGTGTTAGTGAATTTACCTGTCCCTGGCTCGAAGTGTGCATTTCTCAATGTGCGCCTCGAGCCTGGGTTGGTTCATTCGCATTGGTTCCTTGGATTGCACCCCTCGGAGCTCTCCTACCAACTTCGTGACACTCTCCCTGGTTCCCAACTACCTACACCCCAAATGTTCATATTCGGTAATGCTACACCCCACACTACACCACAGCATAACTGGCACCTTATATGCACAACCGTGCATATTCGGTGACAGCTGTCGGAGAAACAGCTTTGCCTGCCACCTGCTTTCGTTCTTTCTCCCTTCCTCCCTGAAGCTTCTTGCGTTGCCTCAGCCACTCCCTGCCCCCTCCTGTGCCCGCACTTGCGCAGCTTGAGCGCGGGTCACAGGACCATGACGCTGAGGCCCTGTCCCTCTGATTACAGCGGTACTCGTCTGGTGTTCCTTCAACTGTGCCCCCTTGTCGTTTTCCAAGACCAGCACCCCAGAGGGGCGCACCTCCTTGACCTTCCACCGCACTGTCCCAAATCCCACATCAAGAGTATCCTGCTTCGCTCTCTTCAGATACACTCCCTGCCCCTCACATACGCCACGTGCCACTCTCCCTTCTCCCTTGCGTTGCCTCTGTTCATATCTCCTGGCATCTCGCAGCTGAGCGGTGTGCAGGTTCTCTAGCGCGGCTGGCATCATGAAGCGCATGTAGCGTGCCCTCACGTCGGACAGGGCTACCCAGTTCTTGATCGTGCCTGCTGTTACTGTGTCTGTTAGTACCCTTGGTGCCCCCACTGGCAGGATTGGCTCTCGTCCATAGAGTAGGCTGTACGGGGAATGATCCCTCAGTGCTGCCTGCTTCCCAAATCTGTATCCAGCTGCTATCCAGTCCAACTCATCATCCCAGTCCCTCCTTCTCTGCTCCCCGTAGGTCCGTAGCCCTCGCTTGACGGTCTGTACTATGCGCTCAGTCAGCCCGTCGCTTTGTGGGTGGTAGCGGGAGGTATGTCGGTGCGTGATGCCAGATTCCAGCAGCAACTTCTTAAACTCTCCCTGGAATTCTGTGCCCTGATCTGTGAGTACCTCCCCACAGGCTCCGAATCGACACACCACCTGGGCCTTGAATGCCGCTGCTATGTGCCTCGCGCTCTTGCTAGGGATGGCTCGCACCTCCAGCCACTTGCTCACGTGTTCAATCATGAGCACTATGTACTGGTTCCCACCCCTGCTCAGCGGCAGCTCTCCCGCCAGGTCCAGGGACCACCGAAATCCCAAGCCGCAGATGGGCAGTGACTGCAGTTCTGCCTTGGCCTGCGTGAGGTTCGCCTTGCTCCTCTGACAAGCCTCGCACCCTTCTACCCACTCTTTCACTTGCCTGCGCATCCCTTCCCACCACCAGCCCGTTTTCAGCAGGTGTACGGTCCTCTCATGCCCGAAATGCCCCAGCTTAGTGTGCACTTCCCTGATCACTGCTTCACGCTCCTCTGGCGCTGGCACCAGCTTCCAGCCGTCCTCTGTTTTTATTTGCAGCTGCTGTTGAAACCACCTGTAGTGATGCCCTCGCGCCCTCACCCTTCCAGACACTGTCTCATCTTCCTCAATCTCTCCCTTCACCCATTTCATCGCCTTTGCATCCTGCCAAATGTCAGCTGGCCCCTTAATCCCTTTCGCACCGTTCTGCTCCACCTCTCGCGCCAGTAGAATCAAGGTATGCGCTGGCTCCTGCTCTGTCTGTTCCGCCTCTGCCGCCTTCCGTTCCGTCTCCAGTGGTGGTGGGTTGCGGGAGAGACCGTCGACGTGCTGTAGTGTCTTTCCTGGCCTGTGCCTTATCTTAAAGTCATACTCCTGTAGCTTTACTGCCCACCTTGCGTTTCTGCCTGTCAGCCCTGGTGTGGTCATCAGCCATGTGAGGGGCTGATGGTCAGTGACCAGGGTGAACTCTCTCCCTTGTAGATATACTCTGAAATGCCCCACTGCCCACACCGCCGCCAGCCCCTCCCCGATGTATGAGCTGTACTGTGCCTCAGCTGGGTTGCAGCTCTTGCTGGCGTAGGCCACTACCTTCTCCACTCCCTCTACCTCCTGACACAATATTGCCCCCATCCCCTGACTGCTCCAGTCGGTGTAGAGAACAAAGGGCTGGTCTGCTGCCGGCAGCCGCAGTACTGTCGCCGTCTTCACGGCGGTCATCAGGTCTTGCAGTGCCTCCCTCTGCTTCTCTCCCCACTCCCATGCCTTGTCTTCCCGCAGCATCCCATTCAGCACCGTTGCTCTCTTGCTGAAGTTCGGCACGAAGCGTCTGTAATAACTGAGGAAGCCCAAGACCGCCCGCAGCCCGGACTTATCTCTGGGTTCCCTCAGCCTGTCCAGCACCTGCACTTTCGCTTGCTGGATCCCAATCTGCCCCCCTGTGACCTCATACCCCAGGTACTGCACTGTCCGCTCCCCCCATCTACATTTGTTGGGATGGCATGTGAGCCCTGCCCCTTCTATGGCCGCCAGTGTCTTCTCCACGTCCTCCAGGTGCTGCTGTTCGGTCAGGCTGAAGATCACTACATCATCGATGTAGCATGCCGCATGTTCTATTCCCCTCAGCACCGCATCCATGACTCTCTGGAACACTGTCGAGGCGTTTCTTAGACCGAAGGGCATGTACAGCCACTCGTACAACCCATCTGGTCCATGGAAGGCCGTTTTCTTTACATCCTCCTCTCTGATCTTGATTTGATTGAATCCCTGCCGCAGGTCCAGCGTCGTGAAGAACACCCCGTCGGCCAACTTGTCAAACAGTTCTTCCGCCATCGGCATGGGGTATCTATCCGGCACTGTGATTTTGTTGAGATCCCTGTAATCCCCGCACATTCTCCTGCTCAGCACCTCTCCAGTCAAGTCCTTCCTGGCTGCCACCACGGTTTGGGTGGCGTATTCAGACTCTGATCCCCGAATCAATCCGGCTTCCAGCAGCTCCTTTATCTTCTCCCTGCAGATCGCTTCATCCCCTGGTGGCATCTTCCTCCTGCGGTTGAATACTGGCTCATCGCTACTCAGCTTCAGTGCCATCTCTTTGATCTTGCATTTCCCCAACTCCTGCAGGGTGAAGGCGAAGCCCTTCCGATGTTTGGCCAGCAGTGCTCGCATTGCTGTCTTCCCTTTCTCGCTCATGTTCTCACCTATCCTCCACTCTGGCTCCTCTTTCTGCAGGCAGGCCCACACCCCTTGTCTGACTGTTGCTACTGTGTTTTCTCCTTCCTTCAGTCCCCAGTGCAGTACTGTCTCTTTCCACATCCGCTGCACCAGCCATCTCATCATGTACCCATCCATAGCGTTCCCTAATGCCCGCCTTCTTTCCTTCTCACTCACTCCAGGGGCTGCTGTGGCATTCTCCTTGTACCCCATGGCCAGCTCCCTCTCCAAAGCCGTGGGGTTCTTCCCACCGTCCCTTCCTATGGTCAAGTACAAGTCCGGGGCCCGGCTTCTCCCCATCCATCCGATATCCTGCTGCCCCCTCATAGGACACCAAGGTGGGTAATGCTTGCCTCTCTTGACCCACCTGGTTGCACGGATAGTGTCTGCTATAACTCCTCTTGTTCACTGGTGCTGGAGTTCTTCCTGGCTCCAGTATGTTGCTCACCTTCCGCCCCTCTGCCCTCTGCACCCCCTCTATATCCCTTCGCAGATCCTCCACTGGCACCACATTCTGCCAGTACATCCTAAGCCGGTGTGCGTAAGCTCCCATTCGCACCGCGTCGCTGCTCACCCCTTTGCCCACTTGTCTTGTCACTCTCTCCCTTACCAACCTTACTGGTTCCCGGACATCTCCTTCCATGTCCAAGTGTTCCAGCGGGTAGGCCAGTCTGCCCTGCCTAGCCTGCACCCACTCCATGATCCTGAACAAATCCTCCATCAGTTTGGTCCTGGGGTCTAGCTCACCCTTGCCCTTTCCCGCCCATGATACTCCTTGGCATTCCCACCCTGCCACCAGCAGGTCCACGTGCCCCCAGCTGGCCACTTCGGCTTCCGTGATTGCTCTTACATCGTTCACTCCTCTACTTATCGCTGCCTTGATCACGTCTCCCCCCATCAGCTCCGGATACTCCCTATGCAGCTCCCACGCATGATGTTCCGCCATTTTCCTCACTTCTGCTGCCTGCTCCACGTAGATCCACTGTTTCACCGCTATTCCATTCCGCACCACTGCTGCCAGTCCCGCCCCTATTCCCCCGAACAGCTCCACCAGTCTGATGGGTTGCTGCCAATCGGTCTGTTGGCTAGGCTCATCCATGAGGCGCATCCTAGGCTCGCTGCCCTTTCCTCTGCCCACCACTTGCTCTGGTGCCCCCTGCTTCGTCATCACCTCCTTCTGATCCGCACGGTAGGCTCTCTTTGGCTCTGTCTTCACGAACTGCACCGGCAGCTGCCCTAGCAGTTCACCCTTCCTCCACCACCTAGTTCGGAACTCCACCGTCTCTTTCCAAAAGCAGATGGTCATGCCTAATGCGAAAATCATCTCCGTGCCCATCAGCACATCAAAATCTTCTGACTCTGAAATCCCACATCTGATTCTGACAGGCGTCTCATGCTTCTCCCCTTTCAGCACCGTTAGTTCTATCGGAGTCCTCGTGCAGGGCATCCATTTTGACTCTCCTCCCTCTGCTGTCATCACTAGCATCCCCTTCATCACATGTCTGTCTGGTGCCCACAGTCCCAGCTTCTCGGCCATCCCCTTCCCTAGTATAACACTCTGTGCTCCAGTGTCTATGATGGCTGTCTTTGCGTTCTCCCCTTCTACCGCCAGCGCTCCATTCTGAATCAGCAGCACCGATGTTTGACATGCCAGCCGCTCCTGCGGGTGACGTGCAGCTGTGCATCTCTCTTCCTTCTCTTCCGGCTTTTGCCCCTTTTCCCGCTCTTTCCTCACCTGTTCCCTTCGCCCATCCTTGCCTCCGCTGCGCAGCCCTATCCCTTCTCTCCCTCTCCATGCCATGTATGCATGTTGCTCCTCATGGTCTACCTCATCATCCTCCCTCACTCCCCACGCCATAAGTGCGCCCTGCTCTTCCTGTGCTACATCTTCTTCCTCCTCATCCCTGGCATACATCCCTGCCTCTGCTTCACGTCGCGGTCCCAATGCCTGCAGCTGCGCTTGCAGCCGGCTGACCTGCTTCTCCTGCTCCTCCAGCTTCTTCTTTGCTGCTTCCTCTCGCTGGTAACAGTCCTTTGTTGCATGTCCACCTCTTCCACAGATCTCACACTTCGGTGCTTCAGGGCATTCCCGTCGCCGGTGCCCTGGTTTCCCGCAACTGTCACAGTTTTTGCAGTCCTTGCGAATGTGCCCTGGCTGTCCGCATCTGTGGCATGTCCGTGTCTCTAGCCTACTCTCTCTTCGACCCACTGCCTTGTCTTTCTCTTCAGGTATGATCGCTGCTGCCCAAGTCGGCCCTCGGCTTCGCTCCATGGTCCTGGGTCGATATGCCTCGTACTTTCTCTGTGCCAGCTCCATCTTTTCTGCCAACTCGAATACCTCATCCAGCGTTGTGTCAACCCCCATCTCATACACCTTCATGCACAGCCCGTTTCCCATGGTGTTGTCCAGCCCGTCCAAGAACTTGCTGACCAACAGGCCCATGTCTGCACACGTCACGTCCTCTGCCAGGTTGATCAGCCGGTTGTAATAGGTGAGCAATGACTCCCTCCTCCCCCTTCGGAACTCCTGAAATTCCCTTATCTTTTCTGCCGTATGCCCGGGAAACTGCCACTGCAGCCGCCTCAGAAATGCCTCTGTAGGGTCTTCCCCGTACCTGCCCGCCCTCTCAAGTAATTCATCCATCTTCATTCTGTACAACGTCTCCGCCCCCCCCTCCAATGTATTAGGCAGGCTTAGGAAGAAATCCACCGCATCCATGCCGCTCCGCTCACACCTATATCTCACATTTCCCACTTGCATCAAATAATTCTTCAGGGTTGGCCCCACGCGCTGGTCTCCTGAGAACCGCGCCGGCACTTCCACCCGTGTGGCCATCGCTGCACTTCCACGCCCCTCGCCCCATGACTCACTTGCTCCCCTTTCCTGCCTCCCTGACATTCCTCCTCCTCTAGCTCGCTCGATCCCCTTCCTTGCTTCTCTGGCGCGCTCCATGCTATATGCCAGACCGCTGCCTACACCTTTGCTTCTGTGCTGATCCTGCCTTGCTTCCCATCGCCTTTCCTCCTCACTGTTCCTCCCTCGTCGATCTGGTGAGTAACTTGCCCGCGTCCACTCTTCCCCTCGCCCTGGGTGCCGCCAGCACTTCTCAGGTGTCGGGGAACGCGGAGCTCTCCTTCCCTCCTGCCCATAACGTTTGTCTCGGTGACGCCATTCCTCCTCCCATCTCCCTCTCTGTCCTTGCTGCAGATCACGTTCTGGCGAGCGTTGCCCGTCTCCATGTCTCTCGTCACGCCGCGTACGCGGATCCAGCGAGCGACGCTCGCTTCCCCAGCTCATACCCCGTTCTTGGTGCCGATCTGGCGAACTTGACTCGCCTCCCCACTTCCTCTCCTGGTATTTGCGCAGATCCGGCGAGCGTGGCCCATTTCCCCGCTTCCCGTCATGGTAGCGATACGAAGCTGGCAAGCGCAATTCGCCCCCACGCCTCCCTTCGTGGTGCTGGCGCCGATCCGGCGAGCGTGACCCACTTCCCCGCGCTCCGTGATGCTGCTGACGCGGACCCGGCGAGCGCGACTCGTCTCCCCGCCTCCCGCTGCGATTCCTCCACGGATCAGGCAAGCGCGACCCGTCTTCCCGTCTCCCGCTGTGATGCCTCCCCGAATCCGGCGAACGCGACCCGTTTCCCCGTCTCCCATCACGATGCTGACGTGGCTCAGGCGAACGCGACCTGCCTCCCCGCCTTTCGCTATGATGCGGGCGCAGACCTGGCGCGCGTGGACCGCTTCCCCGCTCCCCGTCATTCTGGTGGCGCGGATCTGGCGCGTGCGACGCGTGGCCGCCCCGTTCCCCGCCGTGCGCCTGCTGTCCAGAAACGGGCGCTTCCTCACGCGCGCTTCGTACGGTGCCACTTCCGGCTGTCTCTTCCGTCTTGCCTGCCTTAGCAGGGTTTGCCTCCGTTTCTTCCGCGGGCATGTCGTGCTGCTCGCTTGCGCCCTCCTCCTGGACTCCGCCGCCAACATCAGCCACGTCGTCGCGCTCGAATCCCTGCGACGTGTCCGTGCTCTCGTCCACTCCTTCTTCGTCAGCGCTGAGGTCTCCCTCTCGGCCCGAAAACAGTTCCTCCAAGCCTCGCCCGCGGCTCCGATCTTCGCGACGGCGGTAGATTGCCTCCGGCGAGCGGTACGCTCCCGACTCCTGTCGATACCCACGATCGCCACCCGCTCCGTGGCGCGGTTCCGTCCGCCACGGATCACTGTCGAGGGCCGATCCCGATCCGCCCGCTCCTGCTCGTGCGGATCCGCCCGCTCGCCGCTCGTATGCGAGAGGCACCTGATCTGCGCGAAAGGCAGGCCTCCGCGGCGATCTCTCCAGCGATCGCCCACGCTCACGCGAGTGTCCGCGCCATGCGCGATCCTCCTCGCGACGACCATACGTCCTGCCATAACGCAGCTCATACTGGTCCATCCTTGCACGCACGCACTCCTTTTCTCTTATTATGAAAGAGACAAAGCTCCCCCCCCTCAAGGGTCCTCCCTGAGTGGTGTGTCACCTAGCCGTAGGATGAAGGTAACAACGATCCACTATGTGAAAGGATAACAAGAGGAAAGCAACGAGTGAGTGTGTGTTAGTGAATTTACCTGTCCCTGGCTCGAAGCGTGCATTTCTCAACGTGCGCCTCGAGCCTGGGTTGGTTCATTCGCATTGGTTCCTTGGATTGCACCCCTCGGAGCTCTCCTACCAACTTCGTGACACTCTCCCTGGTTCCCAACTACCTATACCCCAAATGTTCATCTTCGGTAATGCTACACCCCACACTACACCACAGCATAACTGGCACCTTATATGCACAACCATGCATATTCGGTGACACACAGCATGGAAGCCGGGCGGTGTGAGGGGCGGTGATGTGAAGGGCGGGGGCCTTGGTAGGTGGACAAAGAGACAGAAGAGGAAGTACAGGGGAAAGGACCCACGGGGAAGAAGAGCAGATAGTATGGGACGCCAAACCCGCAGCCCTTGCAGAGACATGGGTGGCGTTGGGCTCACAGTTGCACAGCAGCTGCGCCTTCACTCACAGTTGCACAGCAGCTGCGCCTTCACTCACAGTTGCACAGCAGCTGCGCCTTCACTCACAGTTGCACAGCAGCTGCGCCTTCACTCACAGTTGCACAGCAGCTGCGCCTTCACTCACAGTTGCACAGCAGCTGCGCCTTCACTCACAGTTGCACAGCAGCTGCGCCTTCACGATGTCCTCAAAGAGCGACGGCGACCGGAAGAGCCGCCCAAAGCCGGCAGCAGCGGCGGCGGGGTGGCGGCGGTGGAAGGCGTGCACGGCGGCCTGGCAGGTGGGTGACAGCCGCAGCATGCGCCTCACCTGCGCCTGCAGGGGTGGTGAGAGGGCAGGCGCGGGCGGGACGGAGGTGCGGCAATGGGTGAACGTGAGGTGCGGCAATGGGTGCACGTGAGGTTGGCGGCGATGCACGTAGGGAGGACAGCGCGCGGGATGAGAGGGACGGATATGGTGTGGGGCGGATCTAGTGTGGGACGGATCTAGTGTGGGACGGATCTAGTGTGGGACGGATCTAGTGTGGGGCGGATCTAGTGTGGGAGTGGTTAGTGAGTGAGATGGACGAGAGGTGAGGGCGGGCGAGGATGGCAAGGCGTGGCGAGCAGAGGGGGCAAGAAGGGTGAGGGGAGCAGCAAGCAGCAGCGGAGGAGAGGGATGACAAGGGGTGGTTAGCAGGCCCGCGGTGCATGGATGGACTGTCCAAGGGCTCACAAGCAGGTGTGCATGGTCCGCTGCAGTGATGCGCGCCAACCCCATCACCCTCACTCGCAGCCATGTGCCTTGCCGCACCGCCACTCTCGTACCACTGCCAGCAGCAGCAGCATCAGCAGTGGCGCTTCTGATGGCGGTGGGGGCATGCGTGTCGCACAGGGCGTCAACAGGCTCCTCCTTCACGCCTGCGCTGCCGTCGCCACTGGAACGTTCCAAGACGTCAGCAGCGTCATGCTGTGTCACGTCAGCACTGCAATGTTGTGTGACGTCAGCAGCGCCATGCTGTGTGACGTCAGCAGCGCCATGGTGTGTGACGTCAGCAGCGCCATGGTGTGTGACGTCAGCAGCGCCATGGTGTGTGACGTCAGCAGCGCCATGCTGTGTGATTCGCACCATCACCGCTCGCCCATCAGCCAGCCTCAGTGGCCGCTCCATCGCTCCCCATGCTTGCTCTCCCCCTCCCCATGCGTTCCCACTGCTCCCCCGCTCCCCCTCCTCATCGAGCCCTTTCCTCTCGGCCGTCCCGCTCCCCTCCGCCCCCTCCCGCCCATCCCCCGCCTCCCGCCTGCCTCCTTCCGCGCTCCCTGGTTCTCCCGCCGCCTCCTCTGCCTCGCTCTTCACTCCCAGCCCCTCTTGTGCCGTTGATTCACTGACACGTGGCGGAATCCAGACGGTCGGCGCCATCATAAAGAATCCGTAGCTGCAAACGGCGGCGGGGAGGGAGAAGCCATCAGGCAACGCCACGTGGAGACAGACGGACGGTTCAGGTTCAGCGAGCGACAACGACGATGGCCGGCCGTCCGTGCTTTGAGTGTTGTCGGAGGCAACGAGGGCTTCCATGGTGCGGATCGCAGCGGGGCGCGCGCGAGGCTCCGAGCTGACGGCGACGCGAGCGGGTGCAATTCGCGTGCGCCGCATGTGCTGCGAGGCAGCTCACACTCTCACAGAAATGGACGAGCTTTTCGTGGCGCTCAGCAATTCTGGCCTTCCGACGCGGAATCTGCGGCTTTCCTTAGGACAGACGAGTCGGTGCGCGTGACCCGCTTCAAGGCGGCTTCGGCACTATTTCAGTGGCGCCGACGCAATTCTTATTTGATGCGTTGCCAGTTCGCTCGAATGATTACTTATCAGCGAACTCAAAGTTGGAAAACACAGAATTTCTTACTGTAACCTACCGAATGATAGAATAGGTTAAAAAATGTGGAAACGAGCTAGGCGAGGTGGTCGGTTTGGTTTCGAAGTGCCGAGAGGTGCGGTGGCGCCTCGCGAGTGGTTCAGGGCGAAATTGTAGGCCGAACCAGCAGCTGTGAAGGCCTCGGAAGGAACTCGCTAAAGAGTGTCTACAATCAAGTGCAAATCCTTAGACCAGTGCACACCAGGAACAAGGGGGATGGCTTTCACAACGATGAGAGGGTTAGAAGAGAGTGCATGGATCCAAGCAGTGAGGCGTATTGTTGGCGCTTGGATGGCTACATGATGATTGCGTTGATGGGCGAGTTGATGGGCGCGTTGTGGGTGCATCGTTCCTTGACAGACACTGGTTCCGGCGACAAAAAGAGGGACCTCACATTAGGAAAAATTGCAAGCCGTGGTCATCGCAGGAGTCCTTGAATGTTTCTCAGGTGCTCTCAGGGACTTCGGTTTTCAGGTGCTGTCAGGGGCTTTGATTTTCAGGTGGTGTCATGAGGGCTGCATCAGGTGTCAGTGTGTCAGCTGAGGTGCGGTACTATGAACATGGTGGGCTGCTCGTGGCCTCGCATGCGAGGGGGGCAGCATGACAGGGCGGGGAGTGGAGCACTGAGCAGGAGCGGAGGGGTGTGGGGTAGCAGGAGGGCAGCTAGGTGGGCAGCAGGAGGCCAGCTAGGTGGGCACGAAGTCATGGACATCGCCACCCTCAGTGTGCACCACGGCTGCCAGCCTGTTCCCCAGCACGGCCAGCAGCAGCACCGCGGCAGCCAGCAGCACCATCTGCAACACCCCCTCCACCGCCCTCTCCAATGCTGTCACCGTCGCCACCACCCACGCCCTCACTCCCCTCCCCTCCACCACCTCACCTCCCCCCTCCTCTCCGTCCTCCCCCTCACCCCCATCCGTGTCGCAGTCCCCAGCAGTGGTCTCGCGGCTCCATTCCCCGTCACAGATCTCTCCCTTCCCCACTTGTCGCTCGGCCTGTCTGCTGTGACCGCTGCTCATCCCGCCACCACCGCCACTCACACTCGCACGCACAGCACGCGCCTCACCACCGATGCACGCCTCGCTGCTCCCTCCTTGCCTCAACTTCGCCCCAACCCCCACTGCCTCACTCACTGATTCACACTCCTGCCCTTGGCCCTTTCCCTTCCCCTCTGCGTCCTCCCTCCCCTCTGTGCCAGCCCCCACCGCATTGCCTCTCCCTCCACACTCCTCTCCTCCCTCCACCTCCTCAACGCATGCACCTCCCTCCCTCTCCTCGCCCCTCCCCTCCCCCACCTCCTCCCCGTACTGCTCCAGCTGTGCCACGGCCTGCTGCTGCTCCCTCTCACTCGCCTCCAGCACCCTCACCTCCTGCTGCACCTCCTCCTCCCACGCGCCCTCGCCTGCACCACCAGTGACAGCATCATCAGCATCAGCAGGTTCAGTGGTAGTGGCAGGTGCAGGTTCAGTGGTAGTGGCAGGTGCAGGTTCAGTGGTAGTGGCAGGTGCAGGTTCAGTGGTAGTGGCAGGTGCAGGTTCAGTGGTTGTGGCAGGTGCCGGTTTGACCACAGCACTCTCTGCCACGTGTTCCCCACTCGCAGTAAGTCCAGGCACACCGAACCTGCTGGGAGGCGCCTCACATGTGAGGCCGCAGGCAGCCATGGGGTTGTGGTGCATGCTCCACCGCCCACAATCCATGCAGCCACTCATGTGAGGGGAAGGAGACCCGCTGTTGCCGCTCGTGCTGCTGGCTGCTGTGGGCGCGGTGAGAGCAGTGCTGCTGCTGCCACCGGTGCCCTGGGCGCCGCTGGGAGTGCAAGAGGTGCGGTGGGGCAAGGGCGGGGGAAGCACATCGACCTCGTCCCCACTGAGCGGCGTGTGCTGCAGACTCCTCGCCAGCGCTGCCAGCGGCACCGGGCACTCCAGGTCCTCCGCGCGGATGGGGGACGCCTGGGGGGTGGGCGGATGGCGGGATGGGGGATGGGGGGATGGGGAAATGGGGGGATGGGGGAATGGGGGGATGCGGGATGGGGGGATGGGGAAATGGGGGGATGGGGGAATGGGGGGATGCGGGATGGGGGGATGGGGAAATGGGGGGATGGGGGAATGGGGGGATGCGGGATGGGGGTATGGGGGGACGGAGCAGAGTTTGAGGAGGCAGAGTGAGGGAGGTGTGGGTCTGAGGCTGGAGAAAAGGATGGGGTTGATTCGCAGGGTGGGACGGAAGGATGGGAGGGGCACACGGCAGGCGGAGCCATGGGATGACATGGGCGAGGCGAGGGAGAGCATGGCGATGGGGTATAGCAGATGAGCAGAACGAATGAGCGAATAGGTGGAGAACGAATGAGCGAGTAGGTGGAGAACGGAAATGGAGGGGAAGCGAAAAAGAGATGGATTGGCACAAGGAGAGCGACAAGTGCAAGAGAGGGATCAACGGAAGGGAAACGTGGGAGAACAGCTCTTTGTGAAAAAGGATCAATGATTGTAAGGCAAGGGATAGGACTCTGGTGGGCGATACGAGTAGGAGAGTGACAAATGAACGATGGGAAGCAGAAGGATTGGTGGAAATGAGAGGGACAGGTGGAATTGAGAGGGACAGGTTGGGAGCAAGGGAAGGAGGGGCAGCGGAGAGGAGAGGAAGAGGTGGGGAGGAGAGGGAGAGGTGGAGAGGAGAGGGAGAGGTGGGGAGGAGATGGGGAGGCGGGGAGGAGAGGGAGAGGTGGGAGGAGAGGGAGAAGTGGGGAGGAGAGGGAGACGTGAGGAGGAGAGGGAGAGGTGGGAGGAGAGGGAGAGGTGGGGAGGAGAGGGAGAGGTGGGGAGGAGAGGGAGAGGTGGGGAGGAGAGGGAGAGGTGGGAGGAGAGGGAGAGGTGGGAGGAGAGGGAGAGGTGGGGAGGAGAGGGAGAGGTGAGGAGGAGAGGGAGAGGTGGGGAGGAGAGGGAGAGGTGGGGAGGAGAGGGAGAGGTGGGGAGGAGAGGGAGAGGTGGGGAGGAGAGGGAGAGGTGGGGAGGAGAGGGAGAGGTGGGACCCGGTGTGGGAGAGGTGGGACCCGGTGTGCTCACATATCGGTGTTTGCTGGCAGTCTCCCCTGCCCTGCTCGCCCGCACACTGCCACACAGCGACTGCAACGCACCCACATGCTGCACCTCCCCTCCGCCCCTCGCTGACGTGGCACTGCCTCTTCCTGATGCCAAACTATCCCGTGCAGACGTCACGCCACTCCCCCCGTCCATAAAGAGGGCCATGGGCGGGGGCGGCTTACCCTGCAGCGTCCAGCGGCCAATGCTGCCCGGCGGGGACAGGCAGCTCGCGCCAAACCCACTCACCTCCTCCCGCCCCTCTCCTTGCCCCTCCCCCTGCCCATCCTCACTCTCTCCCTCATCCCCTTTGTGCACCCGCCCCAGCCCTGAGCCTCTCTTGTGCTGCCCTTGCAACTGCTGCTGCACGGGCTGGGAGGGCGGGGCGAGTTGCATGGTGGGTGGGAGGGGGGGAGGCGGGGCGAAGAGCAGGGGTGTGGAGGGCTGGGCGTGGGAGGGCGGGGGCGGCTCAGACGTGCGGTGCAGCGGTGGTGGCGCAGAGCCCATGGGGAGCGTGGCGCGGTGGGCGTTGCTGGCGCTGCTGCTGCGGCTGCCGTCCTTACTACCGCCTGAGGGGTTGCTGCTGATGGGCAAGGCAGGAGAATGGGGGGAGAGGCAAGGCTGTTGACATAAGGGGGGAAGGGCAGACAGTGCAGAAAGGTAGGAGCGTGGACGGGGTGCGGGGATGAAAAGGGTGGAGAGCATAAGGAAGAGGAAGTGCTTTTGAGTCGACTCAAAAGCGTGGACGGGGTGCGGGATGAAAAGGGTGGAGAGCATGAGGAAGAGGAAGTGCTTTTGAGTCGACTCAAAAGCGTGGACGGGGTGCGGGGATGAAAAGGGTGGAGAGCATGAGGAAGAGGAAGTGCTTTTGAGTCGACTCAAAAGGGTGGACGGGGTGCGGGGATGAAAAGGGTGGAGAGCATGAGGAAGAGGAAGTGCCTAGCGCGGCACAGACCTGAGGGCGGAGAGGGCGTGGGTGGCGCGCATGCTGGCGAGCGCGGAGGCCACCTCAGCGTCGGAGATGAGGCGGCAGAAGCCCGACGACCCCTCCCACCCGCTGCTGCCCTCGCCTGCCCCGCTGCTGCTGCCCTCGCGTGCCCCGCTGCTGCTGCCCTCGCGTGCCCCGCTGCTGCTGCCCTCGCGTGCCCCGCTGCTGCTGCCCTCGCCTGCCCTGCTGCTGCTGCCATCGCGTGCCCTGCTGCTGCTGCCCTCGCCTGCCCCGCTGCTGCTGCCCTCGCGTGCCCTGCTGCTGCTGCCCTCGCCTGCCCTGCTGCTGCTGCCAGGGGAGCTGCCTGCCGCTGCTGACGCCTGCACTGCCCCCTCCTTGCCATCGCTCGCATCCACCCCACCCTTGTGCACACCACTCCCATGGGTCCCCGTGTTCTCTGCCTGCACACCACTCCCATGGGTCCCCGTGTTCTCTGCCTGCACACCACTCCCATGGGTCCCCGTGTTCTCTGCCTGCACACCACTCCCATGGGTCCCCGTGTTCTCTGCCTGCACACCACTCCCATGGGTCCCCGTGTTCTCTGCCTGCACACCACTCCCATGGGTCCCCGTGTTCTCTGCCTGCACAGCCAAGTGTGCTGCCAGCACGGCCCCTTTGCCGTCGCCACCCCCCCCCTCCCCTGCCGCCTTGCAGCCCGTTGACGCCCGTGCGGCCCCCCCGCCATGCTCCACGTCCCCACTCAGCCGCACAAACACCCCACTGCTGCCCATGCCCACACCGCCACCCGCCCCTGCTCTGCTGCCCGCGCCATCGCGTGCGCCCTGTGCGCTGGCGCCTGTGCCGGCATGCGGGGGCAGGTGCAGCAGGAAGCCCGCCTGCCCTGACGCCTTCCCCACACCCCCTCCTGTCCCCACCTGCCGGCTGCCTGGTGGCTGTGAGTGCGAGGGCGGCGAGGGCAAGGGCGAGGTCAAGTGGCGCGAGCGCTCCAAGTAGAGCCCCGCATGGGCTGAGTCTGGGGCCATGGCAGAGTCTGTGGTGGCGCGGGCAGAGGGCAGTCACAGGGAGTGGGAAACGGTGATGACGGTGGTTCATGGATGGGGGTGGGTGAGGGAGCAGAGGGGGAAGGAGGGGCGACTGAGACAATCTGGCAGTTTCGCACGAACAACAAACAAATGTTCAAGTTACGCGCACCTATGAAAGCACGATGGGGGCACACCTGAGAGAGTGATGCGCATGGGGGCACACCTGAGAGAGTGATGCGCATGGGGCTCCCTCTGCCACCCCCCCCACCAGCAGCACCGCCCAGCGCCCCCCCCGCCATCCTGCTGCCCCCCAGGCGGTACGCCCCCAGCTGGTCAGGGCTGCCGGAGGTGAGGCTAAACGTGCTGAGCCTGCCAGAGAGGTCGGGCGACTTGCGGGCGCGCACGAAGGCAGCAGCGAGCTCGTAGAGGGGCGAGTTGCCGCGGCTGTGTGGCGACCTGGCCTTGCCTCCTCGCACCGCTTCACGGCCCTCGCCACTCGTGCTGGGCGACAGGCTGCTCCTTGCGTTGCCCCTGCTGCTCTCACTCGTGGGGCTCCACTCCCGCCCACCGTTGCCAGCACCGTTGGCAGCAGCAGCCCGCCCCATGGCTTTGTGCCCGCTGCCCGCAGCGCTGGCATTCTCCTGCTCCCCATGCCCCACCACTCTGGCTCCTCTCCCCCCCGGGCCCCTGCATGCCTCGTGTGCTGCATGCTCACGCAACTCATGTGGCACTATATTCGAGTCAAACGACTGGGCAGCGGAGGCAAAGGGCACGGGGTCAGGTGAGACAGTGCTGCGGGGCACATCCCTCGCCCCCATCTCCTCCTCAAACACCCTCCGCCGCACCGACCGCATGTCGTCCGGACTCTCACTGGCCACACCATGGTCCGGGGAGACAAAAGCTTTCTTTTGAGTGGAACCGCCGGGGCCGAGGTAGAGGGAGGGCGAGGGGCCGAGGTGTGAGAGGGAGGCGGGCGAGCGCGCGGAGTAGGGCGCGGAGGGGGGCGGCGTGGCGGAGAGGGCGCTGCCGTGCACCGCCATGGTGGTGAAGGTGGCGGTGCCCCGCGCCTGGAAGGCCGTGAACTGCCCTGGCGGACTCTGGAACGCCCAACTCCCCTCTGACGCCGCTGCTCCCTGCGCCCCCCCTGCTTCCGCTTCTTCTGCCGCTGCTGCTGCGTGTGTGGAGGAGTGCAGAGAGGAGGCGTGGTGGGGCAGGGCGGGCAGGGGGGTGAAGTAGAGCGTGGGGTCGCGTGGAGGAGGCTCCGATGGCTGTGAGGCAGCTCGTGCAGCAGCGAGCGCAGGCACGGCAGGGGCAATGGCGAGGGGCGCGGTGCGGGCAGCGGAGGAGGATGCAGCTGAGTGCGTGGGCGACGTGGGGCCCTCTCCCTCTCCCTCGCCCTCTGTCCGCCTCTCCTGCTGCCACCCGTACTGTCGCCCCTCACCCACCTTGCTCTCGTCGCTCTCACCACCCATCCACGCTGGGCTCCTGCTGCTGCTGCTGCCCGCACCAGGCGTGGCATGGCGAGGCCTGTCCGCGGGGTGGGCCTGTGGCGCGCGCGGGGCAGTGTCGGGGCGCCAGCGCGCTGCTGCCTTGCTGGCTGAGGACGTGGCGCCTGGCCTGGGGCAGTGCTTCTGATGCGCGCATGGGGCGTGTGGGGCCGGGAGGGCGATAAGAGAAATGAGGAGTCAGAGAGCGACCGCCTCGCCCTGTGTGCCTGTCTTGTGCCCAGCATGCAGGCAGGCAGTGCAAGCGGCAACGCCTAATCGCTCTGAATGAAAGCATGCCGCAGGCGGCCACATGTGCTGCCAGCGCAGGGGCGCACCTTCTTGTCCTGGATGGCCTTGCCAGCGGCGAGTGCGTCGGGCTTGAGCTTGGGGTGGTTGGCGGCCTCCCGCAGCAGCGCCACCACGTCCCTCAGCTCCGCCTGAAACACTGCCGCGCTGCAGCTGCTGGGGGCACGGGGGGGCATCAGGAGGCCAGTGCACGAGGACTTGGAAATTAGAGACCAAGGGGAGAAAGGAGCTTCCGTGGATAAATGCAGGCAGATCGAAGTAATGGAGGCGAAGAGCAGAGTTGCACAGTGTGGCTGCCCGGGTGATGCTGTGGCGTTGCAAGGGCGCCACAAGACGAGCACAGGCGGACACTCTAATGAACCGCGTGAGTGCAGGGCGCGTGGGGCAGGCATTGCTGTAGTCGTCCGGTTTAAACCCCGTGCGGGCTGCTCAGCACACAGGGCCTCTGACGGAGACAGGCACACAGGGCCTCTGACGGAGACAGGCACACAGGGCCTCTGACGGAGACAGGCACACAGGGCCTCTGACGGAGACAGGCACACACACTTTCCCCTCCTGCACATGTCCTCCCACAACTTCTCCCCCCGGCGCTTCCACCCACACCCCCCCCCCCCCCCCCCCCCCCCCGCCCTCCTCTCTCGCCCCCCACCTGCGCATGGCGTCCTTGAGCAGGCGCACGGCGTACAGGCGGTGCTCCACGGACGCCGCCCCCCGCAGCACCTCCTTGCCCGCCCGCAGCAGCGTCTTGGCGTGGAACTGGCACCGAGGGAAGGGGTGCGGACAAAAGGAGGGATGCACGGGAAGTGAGAGGCACGCACAGTGCAGCTGGAGTGCGGACACAAGTGGAGAGGACGCAAGTGGAGAGGACGCAAGTGGAGAGGACGCAAGTGGAGAGGACGCTGGCACGGACTTAGAGGAGCTGACACACGCAGCTTGGGGCGTACACTGCAAGGCAGTGCACTGTTACCAGACACAGGCACAATGCAAAGCAGCAAGCACATGGCGCATGGCAGAGGCAGCAACCTTGGCGAGCGAAGCGTCGAGGTGGCAGAGGTCGCATGCCAGCTGCAGCAGCGCTAGCGGGCGGTGCACGCCGCCCAGCGCTGCTGTGAGCGCCTTGAACGCCCCCTCCTGTGATTCCTTGGGCACCTGCTGGCCATGCACCATGAACGCACACACGTGCACACGCACACACACACACGTGCACACGCACACACACACACACGTGCACGCGCACACACACACACGTGTACACGCACGCACACACACACACTCACAAAAGGCTGATTGTATGTGCACGCGAAGAGAACAGTGAGAATAGATTCAGTCAACTCCCGTGAGATGAGTGCAGAGCAGGGTGAAGGAAGGCGGATGACAGCAGGCAGAGAGGGACGCTGCTTTGGATTCCGCTTGCCACACATCTAGCGCAATGCACAGCCTCAATCAGTCCGCCCTCCCACACTCGCCTGCTTCCACTTGCCCGCCTGCACCAGCGCCAGCAGGCACCTGGCCGCGCCCGCCAGTGCGTCATGCTCCGCGCCCCCTGCTGCCACCGCCCCGCCCCCTCCGCCCCCTCCGCCCCCGCCTGCCCCCGGTGCGTGGTGCTGCTGCACGTGGCGGTGGTGCTGCTCTGCCAGCTCCGCTGCGAGTGGGTCGCAGATGGCCGCCAGCACTGCGCACACACGCACGGCCACAGCCACGGCGGTTCAGAGGCAAACACGAATGTATCAAGGCAAGGCACTGCCACTCGTATCATGGAACAAATCGGAACAGAAGAGCGTGGCAGTGGGATGAGAGAGCATGGGGAATGGGTGGGAACCTGCACGACCCCGCACGTGCACTGCCTCGCCAGCGGGAAGCGTACCTATCTGAGTCTCCGCCGCGGCTGCGGAGTCGGCAGTGGGGTCGTGGGGGGGCGCGACGCAGTGCGTGGCCATCTCCACCACCACGTCCGCGCACGCCGCGTGCAGCGACGCCGCGCTCCTGCCGCCGCCACCGCCCGGCGTGCCTCCTGCCGCTGCCGCCGCTCCACCGCTGCTCGCCATGCTGCTGCCGTTGGCAGCGGCGGCGCCCGCGGCGAGGGCGCGCACGAGCGCCGTCATGACCTTGGGCACGTGCAGCGCCATCTGCTGCCCGTACGTGCGCGCACACTCTGCGAACAGCGACACTGCCAGCACGCAAGCAACGCGCAAGGAACGAGCACCTCTTGTGGGTTCTGTTTCTGACGTGTCGCATGCTGTACCTTTCTCGCCATGCTTAGCCGGCAATGAATGATCTACCTCTCTTGCTACAGTGAGCCATCAGCGGTGAACGCAAACCCATCAGTCGTACGGACTGTGCTGTGATCCATTCGCTCGCGCAGCAAGCTGCAACGACGCGACACGGCCGTACGTGATGCATGTTTCGCCCTTCTCACCAGCATATCGCTTGCTGCTGGTGTGGCGCACAGTCGTCTCCGCCACGTGGTGCAGCAGCCGCGGCATCACCTCCGGAGCCACGTCTTTGACCGTTCGCCTGCAATCAACGGAAATGGATCTCGGTGAACGAGGATGCAATAAAATTGCGAGCTCAAGTGGAAGCTGACAGGAGTTCACAAACGGCATGGCAGTGGCATTAGCGGCACGGCAGTACCTGAGAGCGGCCAAGGACCCTCTCCTGGTGTGCGGGTCCTCGAGCGCCTCCAGCGACTCCCGAAACACGGGACTCGACCATCCCGACATCCCGCTCCTCCGCCTCCTCCGGTTCCAATAACAAGCCTAACCAGCGCAATGCAGATCTATCCCGTCATCGGAGATGCCAAAAAAGAACCAGCACATGCCCAGCTATCTTGACGCGTCTGGCCTAGAGTGGGTTGTGGCAAACAATCACTTGAAGTTGTGATGGGCACCTTGGAAAGCGCGTGTGAGGGGAAGGAGGAGAGATGATGGGGGAGAAGCTGAAACAATCGAGGGTCACGAGAAGACCAATTGCAGTCCAGCAAGATCGCTGAAAGGCCCACTCGATGGTGTATCCTCTCAGTGTTGACATGGTTTAAAGCCCAAAGCCCGAATTGCAAAGTCAAAAGCGAACTGGTGAAACTGTGCCTCCCGCACCTTTTTAGCCGAACCACGTTGAGGGTTCCGCACCTGCTTGGTTACCATGCGTTGGCCTGTGCGAGTTTCCACAAGCCCAAAATGAGTTTTGCAGCACATCCCCGTCGAAAATACGAGCACGCGGGGGTAGGCCATTAGGAAAGCCCAGCCTACGTGCTTGTAATTCGGGTTTCCAAATTGACGTCAGTTTCTGCCCATGCTCTCCCACTATTCCCAATCTCTTTACCGATGAGAGGAAACCCCGCAATCTGAGTATTTTTGCCGAGCGCCGCGATAAAGAACGGCGGAAGTGGAAAACGCGCAGAGGATATTTCCTGGCAGAGACAAGGTGGTTGGGGGATATAGTCCCGTGGACGAGCCAGGCGCGGCGTACGGCGGATAGGAGAGGGCGTCAGGCACGCGCAGTAGTGCGTGGTTCCGCGCACGGCGGAACGGGCCTCGTTGAGAGATCTATCGGGCGCTGTAGGCTGGGCCGGAGGGATGGTAGCGCGGGGGCGGAGGTCGAAAGGGGAAGGGCGAGGGTTGTTGCCGGCAGACGGCGATATGTCTAACCAGTCCTTACATCTGCTATGCCGAATATCCAGTCAAACCTAGTTTGAATAACTCACTCCACCATCGCAGCGCGATCTCAACTTCTTCGCGGGCAATCTGCTGCTGCCCCGTAAGATCCGCCGGTTGCCCTCTCTTCTTCCCGTCGCTCTCCCTTCCCGTCGCCCTCCCTTCCCCTCTGCCTCCCTTCCCGTCGCCTTCCCTTCCCGTCGCCTACCCTTCCCGTCGCCCGCGCTTCTGTTCCGTCGCCGTCCGTTCGTCTCGTCCCCCTCCCTTCCGCTCGTCCGCTGCTCTCCCCGTCAATTTCTCTCCCTGTCGCCCACGCGTTCCCTGTCAATTCACTCTCCGTCGCGCTCGCTTTCCCCGTCATTTCTCTCTCCGTCGCGCATGCTTTCCCCGTCGCCCTGCCATCCACTGCTCGTCGACCTCGCCTTCCCTCCCGCCTCCCTTCCCACCTCGCACACAAGTCACCCTACGTGTTCTCCCCCTACTCCCTCTTATCCCTCCCGCTAATAATCGCCTTCCTTCCCCCCCCCTTCCCTTCTTCCCCATGTCCCCTTCCCTTCTTCCCCATGTCCCCTTCCCTTCTTCCCCATGTCCCCTTCCCTTCTTCCCCATGTCCCCTTCCTTTCTTCCCCATGTCCCCTTCCCTTCTTCCCCATGTCCCCTGCCCTGCATTCCTGCAGGGTCTCCTCGCCCGCCGCCCCACTTTGCTCAACCCCGACATTTCACGTGCCCTTATGTCCCCCTCCCGCCACAGTCCATTCAGGCCATTGCACTCCCCTCACCTCCTTCTATCTGCATCCCCTCACATCCCCCTCCCCATCCCCTTCCCCACCACCAGGCGCGCGCCCTGCTAGCATGCCATCGGTCGCCGCGCTATCACGTGGCACCTCTGTGGCGCGCACATTGCCCCAATTTCGCACGCTACTACACACATCACCGTCAGCTTTTATCCATTGATGGTGGGTGCGTGGATGGGTGGATGCGTGGGTGGGTGGGTGGGTGCGTGGGCGGGTGGATGCGTGGGTGGGTGCGTGGGTGGCTGCATGTCCACGTGCATGCTCTGCTTTGTGCATGCATGTCTATGTGCATGCATATCTATGTGCATGCATTTCTATGTGCATGCATGTCTATGCGCATGCATGTCTATGTGCATGCATGTCTATGCGCATGCATGTCTATGTGCACGCATGTTGATGAGTGTGCTGGCCTATGCCCACTCTTGTCCATGTGCATGCTTTTCCATGTGCCTGCTTATTTGCTTCATCTCAGTGCCTTGCTTTCTCCCACTGCCATGCTTGCTCTCACTGCCATGCTTGCTCTCACTACCATGCCCGCCACCCCACTTTGCTCTCCCATCTGCTGCCACTTCTGCTAGTGCGCTCCTCGCCCTTCCTGCTGCCCATTTATTCCCGCCCCGCTACTTCCCCTCACCCCACTGCGTTCATGACAGAGTCTATTCCCCCTCTGCTTCCCCACTTCCCCTCCACAGTCTAGTGCACATGGTGGGAGCATGACAGGGTAGCAGCACCTGCACACCGTCACAGCACCTGCACACCGTCACAGCACCTGCACACCATCACAGCACCTGCACACCGTCACAGCACCTGCACACCGTCACAGCACCTGCACCCCGTCACAGCACCTGCACACCGTCACAGCACCTACACACCGTCACAGCATCTGCACCCCGTCACAGCACCTGCACACCGTCACAGCACCTGCACACCGTCACAGCACCTGCACACCGTCACAGCACCTGCACATCATCACAGCACCTGCACACCATCATAGCACCTGCACACCGTCACAGCACCTGCACACCGTCACAGCACCTGCACACCGTCACAGCACCTGCACACCGTCACAGCACCTGCACACCGTCACAGCACCTGCACCCCGTCACAGCACCTGCACACCGTCACAGCACGTGCACACCGTCACAGCACCTGCACCCCGTCACAGCACCTGCACACCGTCACAGCACCTGCACCCCGTCACAGCACCTGCACCCCGTGACAGCATCTGCACACCGTAACAGCACCTGCACACCGTCACAGCACCTGCACACCGTCACAGCACCTGCACACCGTACACACTGACTACTGAGTCCCCTCAGGTAGCTGCGTCTGCGTCTGCGTCAGGTCAGCTGTCGGCTCCCTGCTTGTGCCGCTCTCTAGCGCACGAGATAGTCCTCTGGCACCACCGCCTTGGTCACCCGTCTGTGTAGCGCCTTCGGGCAATGCAAAAACGGTACCTTGTCTCTGATCTTCCCAGGGTTCTCCCTCCCCTCCCACCCTCACCTGCTCCTCCCTGTCTTCCTTGTGTCGAGGGGCGGCAGCGCGCCGCTCCTCACTCCTCCTCGTTTCCTCCGACGACTGCTCCCTTGCAGACGCTCCACATGGACGTGTGGGGCCCAGCCCGCGTCCGTGGTCAGGGTCAGGAGAGGTACTTCCTGATAGTTGTTGACGACTACTCGCGCTACACCACGGTCTTCCCCTTGCGCACCAAGGGTGAGGTCCCTGAAGTTTTGATCCCTTGGATCCGTGCTTCTCGTCTCCAGCTCAGCGAGCGTTTCCACTTGGACTTTCCTGTCCTGCGGTTACACTCTGACAGAGGTGGTGAGTTCTCCTCCGACCTCTTGGCAGCCTACTGTGCGGAGCACGGCATCCGGCAGTCGTTCACGCTTCCGGCCTCTCCACGGCAGAATGGGGTTGCTGAGCACCGCATTGGCTTGATCATAGAGGTCGCTCGTACCTCCTTGATCCATGCGGCTGCGCCCCACTTTCTGTGGCCGTTTGCGGTCCGATACGCTGCGCATCAGCTCAACCCTCTGGCCCTGTGTCTCCTTTCCGGAGACTTCCCCGACACTGCGTTGGACGGGAGAGGTTGGCGATGCGTCGCGTTTCCGGGTCTGGGGATCTCGGGCTTTTGTTCGCGATACGTCAGCGGACAAGCTCTCCTCCCGTGCTGTTCCGTGTGTCTTCCTTGGCTCTGTCCCGGGCGCGTCTGGTTGGCAGTTTTATCACGCCGCCTTGCGCCGTGTCCTCGCCTCTGAGGACGTCACCTTTTACGAGTTGATACCCTTCTACCCCCTCTTCCCCTACCGCACTGCCCCGCTCCCTCCCCCGCCTCTCTTCCTGGCTCCAGGTGCTGCTGTAGTAGACCCCCTCCCCCCTCACGGTGCCTCTCCCTCAGGTGTGTCCCAGGTAGACCCGGTTGAGCCTGTCAAGGTAGCTGTCGACTCTTGTCCTCCTCGGGGTGCTGAGCTTGAGTGTGCGGAGCCTGGGGTTGCGGAGACTGTTGGTGCAACCCTATGGTTTGCACTCGGCTTGTTGTCCGTATGCGTGCATGTGTATGTGTATGGAATGGTATGAGGGCATGGGATAATATATATTTCATGCTTATAATTGTGTGTGAATGTTGAGTCATGATGTCGAGTGTGTGTGTCGAGTCAATAGCGAGATATCGCTAGACGCGTGTTACGCGGTCGTATGTGTCTCGCGCGCGGTTTCTATTTTGTCCTGTGTCGAACGTTCGGCCTGTCGCAGGTGTGTGCATAAGACCCATCAAGAACCCAAGGATGAGTTTGTGATGAAGAGCCCGAGCCTTTGTGTCAGGGCTCGAGTGGTTTCGAAGCTCGCCAAAAGGGTGCACCTCAAGATATTGAAGATAGTTACATTACTTTGTGTAGTGTAACATTTCACTTGGTGTAAGCCCTAGTGAAGGGTAGTTTCGAGACCCTTTGTGGTTGGGGATAGTTTGGCACTGTTCCACATCACTGTACCTCGGCTTTTGGGGTTTGTAGGAGCTGGGAGTCATTCCCAACTCGTAACTCTTCCTAACTCTTCCTATCCTGTTTTCTAAGACTATGTGGCTGCCATAGTGCCGTTCGTTCAAACCAACGCTGTGTCGTCAATAGTTGGTCAAATCGTGCGATCTAAATTGCCAATTGTAGGCGACAATAAGACGCTCCAGATCCAAGTTGAAACAAGTCATTTGAAGTTGTGACCAGAACGATACGAACGTTTGAAGCCGCTGTGCAGAAATCCGACAGTGCACTCTATCTTTTGTTTTAGGCACATTGGAGCCTACTGTGACTATAACAGAGACTGGAGGTGCTGAGCCTAGGGGTGCAGAGTCTGGGGGTGCAGAGTCTGGGGGTACTAAGCATAGGGGTGCGGAGTCTGTGGGTGCTGAGCCTGGGAGTACGGAGTCTGTTGGTGCAGAGCCAAGTAGTGCTACGCCTAGAGGAGCTCTCGCCTCATAACAGCTGCATGAGTGGTACTTACAGTACTACATCCTCAGGAGAGGTGCCTCTGGAGCTAGCGGTACTGCTGGAGCTGGTGCTCGTGCTTCCTCGCCTAGGCGGGAGCTGCCCTCTCTGCAGCATCTTCGTGAGTGGTACGCACGGCGCTGCAGTCTCAGGAGTGGCGCTCCTAGTGTCGCGGACCCTGCTACTGGTGCTACGGACCCAGGCGTTGGAGCTGCTGCTGGTACTGAGGACCCGGGCGTTTGAGTTGCTGCTGGTACTGCAGACCTGGGCGTTGGAGCTGCTGCTGGTGCTGCGGACCCGGGTGTTGGAGCTGGTGCTGGTGCTGCAGACCCATGCGTTTGAGTTGCTGCTGGTACTACAGACCCGGACGTTGGAGCTGCTGCTGGTGCTGCGGACCCGGGTGTTGGAGCTGGTGCTTGTGCTGCAGACCCAGACGTTAGAGCTGCTGCTGGTGCTGCAGACCCGGGAGTGGGAGCTGCTGCTGGTGCTGCGGACCTGGACGTCGGAGCTGCTGCTGGTGCTGCAGACCCGGGCGTTGGAGGTGCTGGGGGTGCTGCTCGAGCTGCTGGAGGTTCTTGTGCTGTCTCTGCTGCTGCAGGGGGCACCTCACGGCCGCGGCTGTACTTTGTTCCACTTCTTCAGGAGGCTCTTGGTCAGTCACCTCCGCCTTGTCCCCCTCCCTCTATAGAGTGTCCACCGCCGGTCCAGTCGTTGTCACAGCTACAGCCTGCCTCGCCACTTCCTCGTCCTTCTCCCTACACTGGTCCTACAGGCGGTCTCACAGAGCGACGTCAGCCTGAGTCTCACCCTGTGTCGCCTGTGTCCCGTCCTTAGTCGCCTATTCGTACTACTTCCACCAGTCGCCGTACTCCGCGTGAGCGTCCGCCACCAGTCCCTGGCACACACCGGATGTCACTGCGTCCCTCCACTGCTCCATAGTGTGTCCCTCTACCATCTCCTCCTGAGTCCTCTCTTCGTGCTCTTGCTGACCCTAAGTCTGACTCTCTTCTTGCTGCCAGTCCTACTGTCACGCTTCTCCTGGCCACTGCTGTCACTGACCCTTTGTTTGAGTCTACTGCTGCGCATGCCCTAGTTGCTGAGCTTGTCGACTTTGCTGCTCGCTGTCGTCTAGACTACGCTGCAACTCTTGTCGCTGAGTCTGAGTCTGTCTGTCGTCCGTCTGTTGGGGGTGAGTGTGCTCTTAGCACGGACGTCCTTAAGGACACACAGGAGGATCTTGAGTGTCTTCTAGACGCTGCGCCCCATCTCGTGTCCATGCTAGTTGCCTCTGAGGGAGATCCGGATGCACCAGACATCCCAACTCCTCGATCGTACGCTGAGGCGATCGAGGGTCCCTAATCCTCATAGTGGTAGTCAGCCATAGACGCTGAGATGGCTTCTTAGAAGTCCACAGGCACCTACGTCGACGAAGTTTCCCCACCTGGGGCGAACATCGTCAGTGGCATGTGGATTTTCAGGGTGAAGCGGCCGCCGGGTTCTCCGCCTGTCTTCAAGGCTCGTTACGTTGCTCGAGGCTTCAGTTCGCGAGAGGAAGTAGACTTCTTCCAGACCTTCTCCCCCACCTCAAAGATGACCATACTTCGGGTACTACTGCACGTTGCTGCTCAACGCGACTACGAGCTTCACTCTCTCGACTTCATCACAGCTTTCTTGCAGGGCAGTCTGCACGAGGAGATCTGGCTGTGCCGCCCTTCTTGGCTTCACTGGGTCGTTTCCTCCTGGTACCAAGTGGAGCCTCCGCCGGCCGGTCTACGGTCTCCGCCAGGCGCCACGTGAGTGGCACGACACACTGAGGACTACTCTTACGGCTCTTGGGTTCTCTCCTTCTACTGCTGACCCGTCGCTGTTTCTACGCACTAACACTTCGCTGCTGCCGTTCTACATCCTTGTGTACGCCGACGACTTGGTCTTTGCCACAGCTAAGACTGAGTCTCTCGCCCACGTGAATTCGGAGCTGCAGAAGAGACACACGTGCACAGACCTGGGTGAACTGCGCAGCTACCTTGGCTTGCAGATCACCCGGGATAGAGCACGCCGCACCATTACCGTGACTCAGTCACACATGGTGCAGCAGGTCCTTCAGCGCTTCTGCTTCACCTGGTCCTCAGCACAGGCCACTCCTCTGGCTATAGGTCACTCGCTCTCAGCTCTGCCTTCGGATGAGTCCGTAGAGTCGAGTGGTCCTTACCAAGAGCTAGTTGGTTGCCTCATATACTTGAT